CAACAGCAGGGGGGGGAGGAGCGACGCTCACAACAACGAGCGGAGCGCCGGGTGACTAAAGCACAGCAAGTTGGCCCAGTAGGGGGCACAGGTGGTGCATCAGCCAGTCATCTCAGTCAGTCGACCCGTGGCACCTGGGTCTGCCTCGTGACCTCCTGCCAGCGGGCGTTCGACACTTCACGTGGCCTCAACGTGTACATAGCCTGGCACAGGCGTCGTGGTGACGTCACCGCCACTTAGTGGCGAATGGCGCTTGTTGTTGGTTGGATGAGCGTGTGTATGTGGTGAACGGTGGTATAGCGGTTAGCGTGCTGTGCTACGGCCACCCGAGTTGGATTCCTGCTAACGGCCACCACCAATGGGGATTATTTGAACCGGTCCTGGGCCTCCCCTTGGTCGACTCAGCATCAAATGAGTACCTGGTGCGGTGTGCAAACATCGCCACTAAAAAGACAAAGGCGGTCGGACGTGGTGTCAACCACCCACCCCCTCGTGAACCGTACCGGCCTGAATAGGTGCTCACGAACAGCACTTGCCCCAACAATGTGTTCAGGCTATACGGATGTATGTGTGTAGTGTGTACTACATTCTCAGCCTCAAATGAGTGCGGTGTGTAACACATCGCCACTAGAGAGACAAAGGCGGCCGGGAGTGGCGCTGGCCACCCACCCCCGCGACCTCTGGATTGCAAGGCCAGCGTGATAGGGACTTCTCTTTGCACCGTGTGCTGTTGTAGGCATGTGGGATCGGAGTAGAGATTGTCGGCTTACGGCACTGCTGCTGCGACTTGAAATAATTCAAGCATGTAACACAGCACATGTTTCACTCGCTCTCGTAGACAGAGAGCGACTCGCAGGCGCAAGGAACCACAGCCAAGGAGGAAGGCATTGTCACGGCGAGCTTAGCGCCAACAATTGCCCTAGCTCTGCGGTCCTCTTTATACGAAGGTGTTATCGGTCAATGAATGAGTGTAGCACCTCAGATGAATTCTAGATTTGAAGCTTTCGTGACTGCAAGGATTCATATTCTTAGGTTTTTTTTTTTCGGTAAAGTCACGTAGGTAAAAAATTAAAATTAATAAAAGTAAAATAAAATAAAAATCACGACGTTTCGGAGGCAACACACCTGAAGACGGAAGCTTGTGTGGCCTCCGAAACGTCGTGATTTTTATTTTATTTTACTTTAATTAATTTAATTTTTTTTACCTACGTGACTTTACCGAAAAAAATCCTCAGAGGAAACCCACGCGTGCGAGGGGGAAACACGCCATCCCATACAGACGGAAGAGGTGAGAGTTAACGTTTTTTTTCTATTCTGCTTTCTCCCGGCGAGCCACGGTATGGAACCCAGACGCCAAAGGCATCTGGGTGAGATCCGCAAACCCTGGCTGCCTCCGCGGGGTGCTGGATTACAGAGGCCACGTGCATAGCCACCACCGCCAGGCGAGAGTGCCATGATGACCCGATATTATTTGTAGGTACTCCTATATTCATATAATAATCAGTTTCTTTGGAATGTTGTTGTTCTTCTTGGTTCTTTCGGTAAAGTTACGTAGAATGGCAATAATAAAATAATAAAAATAAAACATAATAAAATAATTCTCACGACGTTTCGGCCACAACGCAAGCAGCCTTCCTCAGGTGGAGAGCAGGTCTGTCGAGTAGACAGAGTCTGAATAAATCAAAATGTTGTTGTTGTACCTGTCTGACGAGACCCTACTGGACATCTGTGAAAAAGAGCTTCAATCTTGATTTGAAGCTTTTATGACTGCGGGAATTACTCTTTGGTTCTTTCGGTAAAGTCACGTCGAAAGAAAGAAAATAAATAATAGAGTACGACGTTTCGATTGCAACACAAACAACCTCCCCACAAACACAGTCACACACACACATACCTGGTGACGGTTGCTTGTGTTGCAATCGAAACGTCGTATTATATTATTTATTTTATTTTATTTCTACGTGACTTTACCGAAAGAACCAAAGAGTAAGAGCTTCATAGTTCATCGGATTTCTGCAGGATAAACAATCTGTTGCTGATATGATTATGTTTAGGGATTACAATATACCCATTCGGTGGGATGGATGTGGCGAGCCAAAATAATTCACGGAACAGCCAAAATTAAGCGCTTCCGTTTTAACAGGCGACAAGCATTAGGGCAAGCTCCGTTAGCGACAACGACAAAGATCCCCCGTGTAGCCTTCATAGACTTTCGGGGCAAGTGCTGTTAGCGAGCAACTATAGACACACAAAATGGGCAGATAAAACATCTCCCTCATAGACTGAATCTGTCTCAGCCACATCAAAACATCCAGGAAGGCCTTGTAGGTTGACTTGAAGTGTAAAATTGTATATTTATTTTAATTCCTGTGGAGGGATGGTTATGTGAAGGTGACATCGCTTGTTATTTTTTGTTATTTATATTCTCCACAACGACGCTCATGTTAATTCTCTTGTTGTGTATCACTTTATTATTTTTTTCCGCCGAACTCGGGCCCGTGTATGACAGAGAGAGAGTTCCTCGCCAGTAAACATCTGGGCAGTTCACCAGCACTGACTCACGTTTGCCTGGCTGCTGATGAGACACTCATTGTCGAAACCGGTTAAGAGTGTTGTTTTTTTCACATCAAGAGATGTGTTGTATTTTATTCCTTATATTGCACACAAACGACGCGAACGTATATTTTGTGTGATACACAAAGACAAAGATCCCCCGTATAGGCTTAATAGACGTTTCGGGCAAGCGCTGTTAGTGAGTACCTATGAAGGCCGGCACGGCACACGAGGGAGTGAGTGACCAGCACCATGCCCGACCGCCTTTGTCTCCCTGGTGACGATGTATACACACCGCACAAGGTACTCATTTGAAGCTGAGTCGGCCTAGGGGAGGACCAGAACCGGTTCAGATAATC